GGATTATCCCCTCCCACTTCCCTTTCCCACTCCGCCCCCTCTCATCCCATCCCACCTCCACTCCTATCCTCCTCCTTCCCTTCTAATACCACCACCACCACCACCACCATCCCATCTCCTCGCATTATCTGTTCCACCTCCACACCCCTCACATTCCATCAGTATCATCTCCCATCCCATCTTTCCTCACTATTTCCCCTAGTTGCCGAAGCTACAAGTGCATTACGAAAACAAAGAATTCTGGGCGTACATGGTGAGGGGAGGAAGAGGAGGAGGAGAGGGAGGAAGAGGGAGGAGAAGGAGGAGGAGGAGGAGGTGGGAGAGGAGAAGAAGAAGAAGAAGAAGAAGAAGAAGAAGAAGAAGAAGAAGAAGAAGAAGAAGAAGAAGGAGGAGGAGGAGGAGGAGGAGGAGACAGATTGTCTGAAAACCCAAACGATTTCACGAAAGAGAGAGAGAGAGTTATTCTTTTCACAAACCGGCAGAGGACTTGAGCTTTTAGCGGGGTATAAAATGTTCCCCCACAAGAAAACATCATTTAGTACTTCAGTAAAGAAAGAATTGCAAAGCGATTCTCCATTCCCGCCCCAACCAGACATCTCCACGGCAGTTTTTTTCCCCGCAAACTGTGCTTGAATCAAAAGGTAAACAAACAAGTATAAGGAAGAGTATCCTCCTCTCCCTGCGGGTAAAAATATATACTCCTAAACAAAAGAGCATCACTGCGGTTGTTTGAAGACGGTTGGATCCCCCCTGGTTTAGGGTCGGGTATCCTCTAAATTAGTTCGGATCCCTTGAGGGAGACAGGAGAAGGACCGTGTCTGTCGCGGCCACAAGAAAACTCTGATATTTTTGTAAGCTTTGCGTCTCCTCCGCCGCCCGAAGTTTGATGGCGGCTGTGCAAAATTCAGACGATGTCATTTTGTTTTGCAGAGAGAGAGGTCCTAGTGTCTGTGTCTGGTTAATATATTATTTTAACACACACACACACACACACACACACACACACACACACACCTCCATCTCGTCTACCTATTCGAGCTTTGATTTATCTCTGATTAATAATGTTAATAATATAATATTCTTTTCCATAATCTGACGATATAATTATACAGCGATATATTTCCACCAACTAAACATATAAATTATTTCTGACGCGAGAGTTAAAGGTTTTATTAATCATTTTATTGAATTAATTATATTTATTATTATTTATTATATTACGTTTAATTGTTTTGGTCAGAGATATTGAGGAACAGCTGATCTCCTCCTCCTCCTCCTCCCACTCAGTGTATGTCAACAAAAAACAGCTGATTCTCTCCCTCCTGCTCCTCCCACACACTTTCACATACCTACCCACCACCCACCCACCACACCCACCCACAACACCACCAAAGACACCATACCCACCCACCCACCACCCACCCACCACCCACAGACCCACCAACCCACCACTCTTAAATCGTATCGTTTGTGATTGATTGATGACCTGGGTGTAGTTAGGTGGTTAGCTCCCCCTAGTTGTGTCTCTGACCCTCTCACCTCACCTAGAGAGGGGTGTTTGAATCAGGTGGGGGAGGTGAGAGGGTGAGGGAGGGAGGGAGGTGGGTGGAAGGGATAGGAAAGGGGTAGAGTGGATGTTAGGGAACGGTGAGGGGGATATAGGAGAGGCCAGGAGGGTGGGAGGTGGGAGGTGGTGAGGAGAGGCCAGGGAGGGTAGGAGGTGGGTTGAGGAGAGCCATGTCATGAGGTCGAGAGAAAGTGAGAGAAATTGAACAAGAGGAGAAAGTGAACGACACACACACACACACACACACACACACACACACACACACACACACACACACACACACACACACACACACACACACACACAGACACACACACACACACACACACACACACAACACACCCTGACCTTAAGATCAACAGAAGAAGAAGAAGAAGAAGAAAGAAGAAGAAGAAGAAGAAAGAAGAAGAAGAAGAAAGAAAGAAGAAGAAGAAGAAGAAAGAAGGAAGAAGAACAAGAACTAGCACTTACCAACACAACATTCTCTCAAACTAAGCAACAGTCATGTTTTTTTTATTCCCATTTTTGTCAAAGTTTTAAAGTTTTCTCCTTTACCCCTTTCCCCCCTCCCACTCCCTACCCCCTCACCTCCCTTACCTCCTCTCCCACCCTCCACCCCTCTTACCCCCTCACACAACAGGCGTCAACAGAATCTCAACATACGACATTTTCATAAACATTCTCCACATTCATTTGGGTCTTGGATATATTTAACGCCATGTTGGTGTTGAGGTCAAGGCGTTCTCACATCTCCAGTTTACGAGGAAATTTTCACTTACGATCCTTTAAGATACGTACATGTGTGTGTGTGTGTGTGTGTGTGTGTGTGTGTGTGTGTGTGTCTGTGTGTGTGTTTTTCACCTTCATATAACAATTATTACTCTGAAGCCGTAAAATTATAATCTCAGGAAACTTAATCGCGTAATAACACAGACGTCAATATAATCACGACGTAATAACACAGACGTCAATATAATCCATGACGTAATAACACAGACGTCAATAATCCTGACGTAATAACGATCAATATAATCTGACGTAATAACACAGACGTCAATAATCCATGACGTAATAACACGACGTCAATATAATCCATGACGTAATAACACAGACGTCAATCCATGACGTAATAACACGGTCAATAATCCATGACGTAATAACACAGACGTCAATATAATCCATGACGTAATACACAGACGTCAATATTATCCATGACGTAATAACACGACGTCAATATAATCCGACGTTCACGAACGTCAATATAATCATGACGTAATAACACAGACGTCAATAATCCTGACGTAATACTTGACGTCAATATAATCCGGACGTATAACACAGACGTCAATAATCCATGACGTAATAACACAGACGTCAATATAATCCACGACGTAATAACAGACGTCAATATAATCACGACGTAATAACACGAACGTCAATATAATCCATGACGTAATAACACAGACGTCAATAATCCATGACGTAATAACACAGACGTCAATATAATCCATGACGTAATAACACAGACGTCAATATAATCCATGACGTATGACACAGACGTCAATATAATCCATGACGTAATAACACAGACGTCAATAATCCATGACGTAATAACACAGACGTCAATATAATCCACGACGTAATAACACAGACGTCAATATAATCCATGACGTAATAACACAGACGTCAATATAATCCATGACGTAATAACACAGACGTCAATATAATCCATGACGTAATAACACAGACGTCAATATAATCCATGACGTAATAACACAGACGTCAATAATCCGACGTAATAAACGACGTCAATAATGACGTAATAACGACGTTTATAATCCGCGTATACGACGTCAATAATCTGACGTAATAACACAGACGTCAATAATCCATGACGTAATAACACAGACGTCAATATAATCCATGACGTAATAACACAGACGTCAATATAATCCATGACGTAATAACACAGACGTCAATAATCCATGACGTAATAACACAGACGTCAATATAATCACAAAATATATATATATATATTATCATTGTGTTTGTTTTACCCAGCGAGTCTTACAAAAAAAATAATAATAACTTGTTTGTTGTGGAAGCAGCGGTGTGTTTACAAAAGAGTGCAGCTCCCCGCCGCCATATCTTACCTTGGCGCTGATTTGCATATTGTAGTATACTGTGTTTGTAAACCTCACTCACGAGTTTACTTTAAGGCTACTGTACCTACCCCGTGTGTTGGATATACCAGGAAGGTGTTGCTGTGTCTATAAGGGGTTCTCTCTCTCTCCTCCTCACCCACACAAAAGTTTAAATCATGCACCGTAATACACAAACTTTCGCGTTGACTCTCTGGGACTTTGACTTCATTAAAAATTTAATATGCAGCCAGGTTGAGGCTCCAGTTTACTAAATTATGTTGCCAAACTTACGAAGACAGCTGCCTTGTGGGTGGACACATCTGTTTTATAGTAGAACACCTGTCCAGCTATAACAGGTGTGTGGGGGCATATATGTTACCGGGAGACACTATACATCTGTCTGGTTAAACCTGACAACAACTATAGTACAAATATAAACGACATAAGTACTGTACTCACCTGGTCACTGTCCCAACACCTGTAATCACCTGGTCAGTGTCCCAACACCTGTACTCACCTGGTCACTGTCCCAACACCTGTACCCACCTAGTCACTGTCCCAACACCTGTACCCACCTAGTCATTGCCCCAACACCTGTACCCACCTAGTCACTGTCCCAACACCTGTACCCACCTAGTCACTGTCCCAACACCTGTACCCACCAGTCACTGTCCCAACACCTGTACCCACCCCAGTCACTGTCCCAACACCTGTACCCAACCTAGTCACTGTCCCAACACCTGCCCACCTAGTCACTGTCCCAACACCTGTACCCAAACCAGTCACTGTCCCAACACCTGTACCCAACCTAGTCACTGTCCCAACACCTGTGCCCACCTAGTCACTGCCCCAACACCTGTACCCACCTAGTCACGTCCCAACACCTGTACCCAACCTGGTCACTGTCCCAACACCTGTACCCACCTAGTCACTGTCCCAACACCTGTACCCAACCTAGTCACTGTCCCAACACTCTGTACCCAACCTGGTCACTGTCCCAACACCTGTACCCACCTAGTCACTGTCCCAACACCTGTACCCACCTAGTCACTGCCCCAACACCTGTACCCACCTAGTCACTGTCCCAACACCTGTACCCAACCTAGTCACTGTCCCAACACCTGTACCCACCTAGTCACTGTCCCAACACCTGTACCACCTAGTCACTGTCCCAACACCTGTACCCACCTAGTCACTGTCCCAACACCTGTACCCACCTGGTCACTGCCCCAACACCTGTACACAATAAAAGACAACAAGGAAGATAGACCCCAGTTTAAGTCACTCACCTTCTCACTGTCCCATCGCTTGTAGGTGTACCAGTTGTTGACACCTGGTCTCCAATACTCCAACATGTAGTTCTCGACAAACTCTGCTCCCCGGCCGTTACCGAAGCGTCCTTGGCTCTCTGTAGCGGAGATGACGTGTATGGTCTCCAAGTCGATCTCCAGGTATTCCTTGGAGTCCGCTCTCCCTACCATCTGCCGGGGACACCAAGCCTCAGCACGCTCCTTGTTTAGCCTGGGAGGGTGGGGAAGACAAATAGTTCCATTATTACTTTGTCTCCCGTGTGGGTCTCTGTGACACAAGATGGTCCCAGTATTAAAGGCCAAATTTGCTGACTCTTCCATCATCCATTCATTCTCTCTCTCTCTCTCTCTCTCTCTCTCTCTCTCCCTCTCTCTCATCAGTGGTGGCTCTCTTAACAGTTGTTAACTATGTAATATGTATAACAGGTGTCTCTCTTAACAGGTGTATAACAGGTGTGTCTTTAACAGGTGTGTCCTGTAAGTGTACCTCCTCCATGCCATTATCAGCCTTATCATTCTCCCTCCTACCCCATCATTCCACCCCTCCCTCCCCATCATTTCCCTTCCTCACCTCAACCTCCCCTCAACCTCCAATCTCCTCCTCCAACAGAATTTACCAAGAATACGAAGAAAGAAAGAAAAAATCATTATAAAAATAAACCCTTTAAAAATATCCTGAGTAAATATTTGCCAAGGAAAACTTATCAGGAACCACAGACAACGGGGAGGAAAAAATAATAACGAGGAAAAATTGTTGAGACTTGGAGTAAGCAGAGAACTAACTTTACCTCCTCAAACATGACTCCTGCCCCCTCCTCCCCACACTCCTCCTCTCCTCACCTCTCTGCCCCCCCACCTGCCCCACTTAAAAAAAAAAGGATCTATATATAAACCCATATTTGTTTTTCTTCGGTGTTGAGAGAGAGAGAAGAGAGAGAGAGAGAGAGAAAATTCCGTCTAATAAATTGAAAAACGACCTGCAAAAAATAAGAGGGTGAGGAGAATGGGGGAGGGTGAGAGGGGTGGGAAGGGGAGGGTTGAGGAGATGAGAAGGAGTAGGAATCTGGATGGGGGGGGAGGTGAGTGGGGTTGGTGAGTGGAAGGGAAAGGTTGGGGGGTGAAAGAGGTGAGGTGATGTGAGGTGGAACATGAGGTGATGGGAGACGAAAGGGAGGGGAAGGGGAATGAGAGGAGGGGGTAAATAGGGAAGGAAGGGAGAGAGAGAGAGGATGGGGGTCAGTGGCGTCATCTGTGGGCACATTATTCAACTAATTTCGACAACAGTGGCGCCAATATGGTAATCCCCTCCCTCTCGACCCTCCCTCCTCTCGACCTCTTCCCCCCTCCCCTCGATACCCTCCCCCTCAGAACACCCCCTTCCTGACAGCCGCTAAGATCCCCAACAATTTATGGGGGGTGGAAGGGGAAGGAAGGAGATATGGGTGGAAAGGAGGATAGAAAGACAGGGAATGGGAAAAGGAAAGAGAGAGAGAGAGAGTACACAAGGTGGTGGATGTCTCCCTTGTCTGTGTGTGATGGGTAATTCCCTCTTCCTATCCTCCTGTCCTCCTCCCATCCTCCTCTATCCTCATCCTCCTCCATCCTCCATCCTCCCACCCCCCTTTAGGTTTGTTGTTGTTGTCGTAGTTCTACATTGGTCTCCAGTTTCCAGGTAAACAACATTCCTGTATTTCCATACCCCCGTTGAGAATAATACTGACACACACACACACACACCACACACACACACACACACACACACACACACACACACACAAACACACACACACACACACACACACAACAAAACACACACACACACACACACACACACACACACACACACACACACACACACACACACACACACACACACACACACACACACACACCACTCACACACACACACACACACACACACACACACACACACACACACACCACACACACACACACACACACACACACACACACACACACACACACACACACACACACACACACACACACACACACACACACACAAACAATTTACCGAAATCAATCCATTTTTATTTGCACAGTGAAAAATATAATTACTCAACAAATATTTTTGCTCACACCGCTAATATATTTCTAAATCTGATAATTATTTCCGATTAATATGGATTAGCTGGTTTCTTCGTGCTAACAGGGACAAAAAATAATAATTGGTTGTAGCGTTTCCGGCGTGACTGTTCGAAGCTCAACAGAGGCGGGAGGAGGGTGGAGTGCAGCGAGATTTAGAGTTTAACGTTGGACGAGCAGGGATGGAGGTGGAGGCAAGGTGAGGTGGAGATGAGGGGGAGAGTGGGGAGGAGTGGGAGGAGTGGAGTGGAAATGGGGGGAAGAGTGTGGAGAGAAGAAGTGGGGAGGAGGAGTGGGGAGTGGAGGGAGGGTGTGGGGTGGAGGTGGGAGGAGTGGGGGAGCAGGGGAGTGGGGGAGGGGATGGGGGGAGGTGGGGGGAGGAGTGTGGGGGGAAGAGTGGGAGGAGGTGGAGTGGGAGGTGAAGTGTGGGGAGAGGGTGGGTGGTGAGAGGGAGGAGTGGGGGGGAGGAAGAGTTGGGAGAGGGAGTGGGGTGGGGGGTGAGGGAGGGTGTGGGGAAGGGTGTGGGGAGGGTGGGAGGGTGGAGAGGAGTGTGTGGAGGAGTGGGGGAGGGGCGTGGGAGGGGAGTGAGGGGAGGAGGATTGGGGGGAGGTGGAGTGGGGAGGGAGGAGGTGAATGTAATTGAATGTATTTATAGTTTATTAAAAGGTAACAAAACAAGACCACAACCATATACAAAAGAGTAATCACCCTACTAATCACACACACACACTAATCACCCACACTACACCTAATCACTCCCACACACACTAATCACCCCACTACACACTAATCACCCCACACTACACTAATCACCCCACACTACACACTAATCACCCCACACTACACACTAATCACCCCCACAATAATAACCCCACAGCACACTAGTCACCCCACATCTCAAACTAATCACCCTACACTAATCACCCATACAATCATCACCCCCACACTAGTCTCCCCACACTAATCTCCCCACAAGAAGTATTATAAGTTAAAATAATAAGTTGCCTCAGCCTGACAGATTGAGAGTCTACTGTATGGCAATGAGTCTAAGAGGATTACTTTATATATGGGATTAATCTCTATATGTAGGATTAACTTGGGTTACTGTCACTCTATATAGGATTAACTAGGGTTACTGTTACTGTATATAGGATTAACTAGGGTTACTTTTACCTTATATAGGATTAACTAGGGTTACTGTCACTCTATATAGGATTAACTAGGGTTACTGTCACTCTATATAGGATTAACTAGATTAATCTCAACAGACTGACTACAAAAATATTTCAGATTAGTCGATAGGATTACAATTCTCTCTCACACACACACACACACACACACACACACACACACACACACACACACACACACACACACACACACACACACACACACACACACACACACACACACACACACACACATTGCCTAAACAATAAAATTTCCTCAACACAGTTTATAAGGAAAAGCAAAGAACAAGACACGCCTTTCCCCCCCACCTCCCACCTAACCTCTCCTTCACACTAAGAAACGTAATTATCACACTAAAAAACTGCAAGAATAAATTAACTTATTTGGTTCATCAACGGCGTGAAGAGCCTTTTTACCTGCGCAAATCACTCGCGAAGATCCCTTACCTGCGGCATATCACAGGTGGCGTGAAGAGCCTTTTACTTCCACGGGCATATCAATATCATGTGGCGAAGAGCCTTACCTGCGGCATATCATCACAGGTGGTGAAGAGCCTTTTACCTGCGTGGCATATCATCACAGGCGGAAGAGCCTTTACCTGCGGGTATAACATCGCCAGGTGGCGTGAAGAGCTTTACCCGTGCACAACAATAATCGCCAGGTGGCGTGGAAGAGCCTTTACTCGCGGCAAATCATCACAGGTGTGGCGAAGAGCCTTTATCTGGTGTAAATCATCACAGGTGGCGGAAGCATTTTTACCTGCGGCATATCATCACAGGTGGTGAAGAGCCTTTACCAGGCAAATCATCAAGCAGGTGGCGGGAAGATTTTACCCAGCAGTGGCAAATCATCACAGGTGGTGTGAAGAGTCTTTTACCTGCGTATATCAATTGCGTATGAAGAGTTTTTTTACCATAAGGTAAATCACTGTTATGTGCGTGAAGAGCCTTTACCTGCGGGTATATCATCGTATAAGTATGGAAGAGCCTTTACCTTTAACATACAGGTATGAAGAGCTATATCATCACAGGTGGCGTGAAGAGCCTTTTACCTGCGGCATATCATCACAGGTAGCGTCCCACATCATCCCACAGAGTCATCCACACAGGCCTCCCAAGAAAGAAAAAAACACCCCACTCCCATCATCCTAACAAGGGCCTTCCACATAATGGAATCATACGGCGCCGAGTTTCATCACTAATGAAATATGGATTATGCAAATTAGTATCGGAGTATTGACGCAGACAGCAGCAACCAACAATCTGTGATAACACCAATAGATGGGCCATGTTGATAGGTGCTTAATGGTGCTTGTACGCGGATTGGCTGCCTATAGAGACGAGGAGGGGTTGGGGGGGGGGTGTTACCTAACGATGATTGTGTGGGATTGGTAGTTCAAATCGTTAGTAGAATGATTGGTGATTGGTTCTGTATACTGTGATGATTGTTAAGAGATTGGATGGCAGGAAGAGACACAATGGCTTTATGAAACGAGGATTATCTCTTTGTCTCTCTCCGTCTTTGTCTCTCTCCGTCTTTATCTCTGTCTGTCTCTCTCTCTCTCTCTCTCTCTCTCTCTCTCTCTCTCTCTCTCTCTGTGTCTTTGTCTTTATCTCTCTCCGTCTTTATCTCTGTCTCTCTCCGTCTTTGTCTCTCCCCGTCTTTGTCTCTGTCTCTCCCCGTCTTCCAGAGAGATGCGTCACATTACTGAAAGATGCATCACCTTAATGAGATATGCGTCACATTATTGAGAGATGCGTCACATTAATGAGAGATGCGTCGCATTGTTGAGAGATGCGTCACATTAATGAGAGATGCGTCACTTTAATGAGAGATGCGTCACATTACTGAGAGATGCGTCACATTACGAACAGTAGTTAAGGCTATATGAGAATGCAATTGGCCTAATCGATA